TTGAAAAAAATCACAACCAACAGTAAATAAAACAACTTTTAGGAACATTTTTAGATTTTTTAACTGGTATATATGGCCGATATATATATCGAAAAACATATCGGCATATATCGGCAAACACGCAATATCGGGCCGATATATCCGTTGAGCTCTAATCTTGAGAGAGTGTGACAATAAAGATTCATGCCTCCAATCTCAACGTGAATCAAAATACCAAAGTCACAACTGTAGTTTGAAATTTTACTGGTTCCTAGTAGTCTACCTCAACGAGTGGTTCAAGGTTTTTAGGTTGAAGGACCGTAAAAACATTTAAGAAGGTCTCGCGGGCTGCAAGTCGGAGAAAACCCAAAAGTGATCGAAACATCGCGAGTTTATTTACTTTAAATTTAATAAACAACGAGAGTTTACCGTTCTAATCAGACTATTATTATGTTGCATGGGTGGCGTTCTTTTAAAGAAGATATATAAAGCCTTCAGTTATTTTAAAGTTAATTTTCCTTATGTCATCTTCCTTGTGACACATTTTATTACGAATTGTTATATTTGAGTAATTTAAAAACTTGCAGCGTGAGCAAGCTTAGTGCCATCGTCAAATACCAACCAAGTCCGTCTAAGTTGATATTTCGGGACCCAGCTAAAAAAAAATGGATTGGGCGGCGTTAAGTCGTCTGTGCGTTTCGTCACTACTATCACATGGCCGACGCTTGAAAACAGAGAAGTGTTTTTACTAAAATAAAGTCACAAAGCGTTAAAAAAAGGTTTTGAATCTCGGAATCCCAACCCCAGTTGGAATAGCTTAAAAAAAAACTCAAAAACGTTCTTCTATTAGATACAAATATACACTAAAAATTGTTCTGTGAGCCGCACGGAATGTATCAGCATGACAGGGTTTGGACCACCCGGGTCTATCTTATAAAAAACTCCCGACTTCGCTGACCACTAGATCGTTGAAATGCGATCGTGGAACCGACACATAGTGCAGATAGTTCATTGATCCAATTGTTGGAGAAAAAAGAAAGTTTATTAAAACAAAAATGCAGCAACAAGGATAATACTAGGAAGAAAAAAAACAACAACAATTTGAGAAAACGACTCATAGGCCCATTTCGTGTCCAATGAATAAGTTTCAATGTTTATTTTTGATGGACTTTTCCCCGACCTTTGACCCCCGAAAAATTCTTCCTATACTTCACCATTGCAAAATTTTCGGGCCTTATTTTAAGAGTGGTTTCGCGAGTTAGCGCCTGTAAAATGAGGTATGTGTTTCAAACCATCATTATGATTCATCGCATACAACAATCTGTTTTTTAAAAGTACCGGTAAAGAATTTTAGCCTAGTCTATCACAGCTATTTCTACACTAATTTTTTATTACTGCAATTAAAAAACTCCTAGGAAGACACAGTGACCATTGAATTATCTGATTTATATTTTTTTAATTTCCGAAACACAACTGAAAACTAACGAATAGAGGACGCAAAAACGAGATAATGTTTACGGCCACGCCTGAAAATATGTCTGAGTGAGAAAAGTGTCTGAGCGGATGCGAAAGGGGTACTTTGTTACGTCATTTTTTGCCTCTTGCTGATTGGCCAATGTATGCCACGATGTACACAAGGAAGTCGAAGCTCGGGGAAAGGTCCATGAAGAAGATTAATATGATACTTGAAGACGAAAAGTTTGAGTCGTCTGGTAAACTCGTAATATTTTAATAAACATCGATAAACTATATAAAATTCTGCTCTAAAATTTCTGTGATGCCCCTCTTTGCTTGGTGCCCTAAGCACGTGCTTTTATTGTTTGATGGTTAATCCGACGCTGCCCACACGCCAAAAACGTTCCAAGCGTACTCGGCCTGGCCGTAAGCCGCCAACAGTATACTTATACTATGGTATGGCGAACTAGTTGTGGCTATTGCATTAGATAAGGATATCGCGCTTCTTCGATCCAAAGTCTATTACAAGTTGCGCTATTTTTTTATTTGGACAGATTAAACCATATAAAGTAAATTACGTACTATGCAAACGTGACTTTAACTGACAAAATGCTGCCTACCTATAACCATGACTTTAAGTTCGAACTAAGGTAATTGATACAAGCAGTTACACTTTATAGGGATCTGAAGCAATGGAAGTTGTATTGTTTGTTGTAAATCACGAGTTTGTTATGTTTGTGAATTTGCAAGATAAAATCGCGACCTAAAACAGTGTTGGTGTATTTAGTATTATATTCACGGTACGCTACACGGAATTTTCCACCGACTGAGACGATCGGTCGACAACTGAAGCGAGATATCGAAGTGTAAGTGTCAGACAGGTGGTATTTAAAGTGAACTTAACCTTAATCATTGTGCATTAATACATTTTATACAAATTTATTACTGATCTTTGATCACAATACGTGTAGTAGAAGTGACTACGACGTTGTCGCTATATCTAGCACGAAAAACAAAATGCGACGGAGGAGTTACTCAGCTCCTGAAAGTAGAAGGTCAGGATTGCCGGGTTACGAGACAAACTCTGGTTACGAGACTGGACTACCGAAAATGGGTTTTCAACCCGTTCTTCAAAATTAAAAAATGCCAAAGAGCGAGAATACCAACAATCACAACATAGATCGCCACCGCCAAAATATGAAGAGATATATCCGACTTTTGTGAACTTAAATATCAGTGGTGACCGCATTTGAACTCGTCCGGGTCTTACGATAATTTCGATATTACCCGCCTTTCTGACACATCCCGGCAGTGGTCTCGTGGCCATTCTCGCAGAAGGACCAATTATATTTCATCAGAGTTGGAAATCGATTTTACTTTAACATACTCTGGACAAGGTGGAGACATAAACGCACCTGGAATTGATTACATAAGTAGTTGTAGAGTGAACGACTTGAATTCGGCAATGAGGTTAAACGTCGATGGCCACGATGTTGATTACGAGATGTAAGTTTGTTTGAAAATTTTATAAATGAAAGAAGTAGCAGAAAAACAATTGTGGAACTTTTAGAGAATAATAAATAATACTGAATATAAAAGACTACGGTCAATCAGAAAATGTTTTGTGAAAAAAAAAACGACGCACATCGTGATGCATTCATAAAAAATCTGAGTTAAAAATAGGCCCATGGCTAAGGATGCCAAGTATGAGTACCTACAAGTATTCGATTCTTATCCGATTCCTAAATTTTCGATTCCGATTCTCGATTCCTCGACATATTACCGAAAAAATATACCCACCCAAGCAATACCATATGAAATCAAGCAAGACAGCGATGTTCAAATTCTGGACGGACAAGAAGGCCGAAACTAAGTAGTATGGGTATCCAATCTGCCACAGGAGACAAAACAGCACAAAAAAAAACGAATCCCTCAGAACCCACAGAGATTTTTAAAATAAATAAACGTTAAAGCCTACTAGCAATATTTATAATATATATATTATATAAAGTGAAGTTTGCGGTGTCGTAGCAACTCAACATGGCAGTGAAGCAGTTTATATATATATATGTGAAGAAATTGCCACAAAACGTTACACATTGTTTGCAATCCAAGTTTCAAACTCGAGAATCGATTCCGGTGCATCGGAATCGATTCTAGTCGATTCCGCGAAGAATCGATTCTGTAATCGAATCCGGACTCGATTCCGCCATCCCTACCCATGGCTAAAGATCACATTCACGAGCGATTTTTTTGATTTTGCTAATAAGAATTCTCTTCAGACTCATCAAATGTCATACGATATTACCGCTTTTAAACTTACAAAATGAAGTACTTTCAAAATCGCACGCTATTGAAAACTCTAGCTTTTAAATCTCGTTATGCCCAGATTTTGTCTGTATGAGTAATAGGCGATATATATTGAATATCGAAACACCGCTAACTCAATTGTTAATTAGTTTGCCATTCCATTGAGGCTTTTGTTCGCTTTGTTTTACTTAATGTTTCGAGGTAACAAGGTGCCGATCTGGTAACCAAGAAAATCGTTCAAATTACGTTATTAAATCCCCCTAAATGCAATTGCCGGGCAACGAGGCTGACTATTACAGTCGATCGAAAGATCGACCTCAAATGCTCTTCGTCTCTGCTTGGTAGTTTACCTCATTCTAACGGAATAAATATCAAAAGCGTCAGCACATCCAGGACACTTCATGTTTATTAAAAGTTTGATGAATTTCTGAATCCAATTTTTAACATTATTTTAGGTGGAAATAATCTTGGCCTAATAAGATTTTTAACATAATCTAGATGCGGCGTATGTATCCAAAACGCTTCAAAAAATGTTGGGATCACTCTTCGACACTTGCTGAAGTGTTCAACAATTCCGTAAATGCATTTGTTTTGGAAAGTTCAAATGAAACATTAACAATGAGCCGTATGAAAAAGGAATGTAAACAAAATTGAGACTAGTAAAATAGTTTAGTAAGCTGTTGCTTTCTGAAAATAGTAATTTTTTTGGATATTATTCAAGGGTCGTTTGTTCTTTCCATGAAAGCACATCCAGGTATCAAAATTTTGTCTAGCAATGTTACAAACGAGAATATCGGTCGGACACCGAAGACTTATCGATCGAAACTGCGGTTTCGATTCATGACTATATAGTGACACCGCGTGTCCCATCACTAATTAATTAATAACTCGCTTATAATTCATCCAAAATCAATAGGCTTCTGGTCCGAGATATGATGAATGCACATGCAAAATTTGGAGCAGATTCAACCTCGCCTTCTTGAGATATCGCGTTCATCTAACAGACATACAAACAGACATACAGACAAATACCTATCAACATACTTACCAATCTTAAGATCGATAGGTAACAACGAACGTAGATATTAAATTTTATTACACCCAGCAAAATTCGCTAACTTGGGCAGAAACAAATCTCGCACCTTGACTATAACAATAATAGTGGCATAAAAGGTAAAATGGTCAAAATATGTTATAAGTACACTTTAGATTTCTCCAGATATTTTTAGATTCTCCTTTCTCGCGGTATGAGTCATGCGTAAAACAGACTAATATTACATGCTTTATCTATTATTCATATTTGATTACATTTGTGATTGCTGGATCTTGACCCCAAGTATTTCAAGAGTTTATATATATCTCTTTATTGAAATCTACACGGAGGGGTCGCGTAATCTTTCCCACGATTCTATGGGACCGATTAGTTCCAAATTCATTCCCCTTTTCAACTTCCTGCTATGTAAATAGCAATCTGTTAATACGTGGCTGAGCTTGAATAAGGCGAATACGGATATTACTTGAATAAGGCCCTTTTCTTTAGCAGATGTTTCGTTGGAACTTCTGTATGTTCTTCCACGTATGGCATTTGTCCTGTGAACCAAATATTGGAATCTGATATGGAGAAATATCAGTCACATAAAACAAAACTGCTCGACTATTCTCTTTTAATCTTATTACTTAAAAAGATCGTTTGCGCCTGACACGAGAATCTTTCATATGTCGTAAACTCGAAAATGAGTGGTTTAACGCTAAACATGCATATTACGTCTAACAATTATCTATTAATTGGTCTGTTATATAACGCATATAATATAAAATAGGTTGTATAAAACTAATGGACATTATACTAATTAATACTCACCATCTGACTTCAAGAGCTCTTTGTAGCTAATAACTTGACCACTTCCTAGGCATAATTTGCAAGGTGTTCTTCTCTGCCCACCACAACTCCTGCAGTTAAAAAAATGATTACTTTAGTACAAAATATGCAATTAAACAGGAATAAAGTTTCAAAAATGGTATATAAGGGAAGATAGGTTAGAACAAAAGTCGATAGTTATTTTCATGTTTCAGAAGATTGAAAGATCAACAGGTAAATTGGTAACACACACAATGAACGTTATAGGGTTAAATACACCAAAAACAATATTTCGATAATGCTGGTAATTATGCAAATAGTTCTGTTTATTCTTGAGTATAAAAACTTGCAAGTAAACCTATTACACATAAGTCTTGATCTTATCAAATATACATTTTTCAAATGTTATTCCCACCTTTCTCCTCTTCCGTGACAATGACAGCCGTAATCGGGCTGAAAAATGATAATAAAAAAAACTTGATGTAAATAAAAATGAACACACTTGCATTAACTATCTGAATTCTGACCAGACATATGTAAAGCTCTCACCCCGCCAGATTCATCGTCACAATACTGTATAATATGTCTCATCGACATCGTTCTTTTTTGCTCATCAAGTATAATTCATTGAGTATATTAAAAATATAAAATCGTAAACATAAAATCAAATGACTTACTCCTCCAGGAGATCCGTGACACTTGATGCAAGGCAGAGTACCACAACCTCCACATTAAGAACATGACACTGTTCCGTTTCCCGAGCACCTATTACAAGAAACCCATTACATATATGTGTATACACGTATAATATATACATACATATACGTGTTAGAAGCGGAGAGTTCTTAGATATATTTTCTTAATTGAAGTGTTCTTATATGTATAATATAACGCAGAAAGTGATGATTTGTACTCAACATTTCATTCGATCATTCATTCGGTAATCGATAATAAAAATATTGAGATATTAATTCAGCATATGTGAAGCTTCGGTTATACATTCACGCAATTGTTCAGAATGAGTAATCTTTATAATTCGACTTGTCTCATGGAAATCCGATGGTGGAGTGACTTCAATGTCAAACATATTCATTTTGTGACCATTTCCTTTATCAATCTTTTGACCTAATTGAAAATGATGAGAAAAATAATGATATGAAATCAATATTCATAGTGACAAATTTTTGTCAGAGCATAATCTATAAATGGTAGGAATAGTCTTTAATTTGTAGTAGAAAAGGCAAAATAGGACTAGAAATTGGTAAATATTGCCTTTATTTGTGAACGTCTCGAAGAATTAATGTACATATCTATATCGATGTATTCCGACGCCTGTACGAACGATTGTTGAGTAAGAGTTGCTATTCAGGTTTATCTAAAGAACATGCTTGAATAACGTTCAAAAACTCAGGCTGTGTTACAAATTTGTATTCGATACAGTTCAATGATGCCAAATACAGTTAGGTAACGAACAGACACCAATATTCCTTACATTTAGAAAAATTGGTAAAGAGTAAAATTTTGCAAATAGATAAATGAATATATCTTGGCTTATTAACGTTATATTCATTGCTAATTACCTTTTTTGTAAGGTTTCGTTTTTTCAAAGCATAGTCTTTCTTCCTTGTGAGTCTGCAAAGTATACTGTAACAAAATAATTACTCGTATTGTAAACCGACCTACCTATATTTTATTTTGTAATTCTAATGGAGTACAGAAAAAACGCTGTATGGGCGCTTGCAGTTCGGGATGTGGGAGTCAAATATATATGATCCATGCTTACTACCGAACACACAGCCTAGACCGCCATTCTCTTCATATTAGTTCCCTTTGATTCTCACACTCCCCAAAACAACTGAAATGTTCTTATATGACATCTTCACTCGCCAAACACGGGAAGACACCCCGATATTTTGGCGTGAGAATACTTTGGTTTGCGTATTCACTAACAAGACTAACCGCGCGATTCTGAAAATATCGCCCTCCCGCAATTCTCGTGATGTTTTTCGAAATTATGTACTTGTGATAATTTGCGGGTTCAATAGAGACGGACAGCGACCGAGCGCAAAACGTTAATCAATGCTACTTTTTATGCTCAGATAATTTTTCATATAGATGAAATATCACTTTGAAAGTATTGAAAATTTGAATGAAAACTAACATCGTCTTGGGTAGGACAAAAATGTGGAATAAAAAGCTTCCAATTTCGATTAAGTACGATAGACCACCAAAATCGCATCGGCGGGGTTTGGTTAAGTGCGTAAAGCATTTATCATTGGAAATGGTCAGTCTTCCTGAACTTGAAAAACTATACTTGAAACTGGAACTGAGGTTCTTACCCGAAAAGCACACCAGGTGTGAGATCCTACAATTTGGATCTGCTGGGTTGTTTGTGACTGCAAAGCGGCTTTTTCTTGGCCCATTGACGAAGAGCATATCGTCACGCTAATAACCGAATTGCGTAAGTCATTTTTAGCAGTTTTGAGAAAAACGTAAAAAACTTCCTAATGATATTGTTATGCCATTGAGAGTCAATAATTTCCTATGGTTCATTTTTTAGTCGTAGCCGGATTTAAGTTAATATGTATGACGCAGGTATGTGACGTCATAATGGCACACTGAGACTTACGCTGAAATGACTTGGGGACATACGCAACTTTGCTATATACACCAGTCCTGAGAACTAAACATTCGAAAAACGTATATAATTCCCAGTATCTACGATGTCTAATGCCCACAAAAGCGTATCTATTTCAATAACATTATTTTTATGTTTAAAACATTCATGTCATCCATATAACGCGCTCTGCACTGCACTACCGAAAACAAGGTTTTTCATATATATGAAATATAAAGATTAAAATTACAATGCACCCTTGAAAAAGAGCCAATCAATGTGAATTGGACTAAGATAGTGAATATCACAGATACACACTTTCCTGCGCTGGAGAGTAAATTCAAATTTATAAGCGCTAAGCTAGAATATAAGATGCCAAAACTCGAAAATACTTCGCCAGATCTTATTTTGTCTTTGTGACGTCACAATAATCCTGCGCTAATCGAGGACTATTAATTATGACGAAACAATTGCAAGAATACGCATGCCACACATAATCTCGATTTTCATGGGTTTCGAAATTCTTGGGATAAAATCTGAGTTAACAGACAGGTGCGCAGCATTACATAAATAACTATTTTATAAAAAAAACTCAAAACCGCCAAAAATGACTTACGCCAGCGGTGTGCAAGGTGCGGCCCGCGAGGACAAATTGTACGGCCCGCGGAGGAGTGTCAATTTTGAATGGTGTGCGGCAAGCTAAATTAGTTTTTAATTAGGTTTGATCTGGTTCCCTTTGCGTTGCAAAGCTTATATTCGAGTCAAATTTATTATCTATGCCTATGACGTTACAAAGTCCTCACAGCGAAGCGAACAACGCGATTCATAAGGAAGCTGTGTCACTTGCCGAGCAGCAAACAATTGAAAGAAAAATGCGGAGCAGACGCTAATGAATTTGTAAGAACGGACAATTGAAGATTAGGCAACTGGAAAGCAGTTTGAAAAAATGTAATATTAAGAGATACAAAAGCTAAATGAGTTTTGGTTTCAGCCTATCAGTTGATTTTGTTGAAATCTAATCTAGAATAATATTTGACAGCAAAGTATTTGGAAATGAATCTTGGCGTATTATACCAAAAACATCTCAACTAAGATAACTTTTTTAATTTGAAAAAAGTCATGGCTTCAAATATGGCACTTTTCGGTTACATAATTTTTTCTAAAATGAGCGTCATATCAAATTGCTAGCACTGCATTTAGGCAAATTTGGATAAAAGTAGTCGGGAAAAGAATCCAGCAGCAAATTTCTCACCGAATTCGTTTAAATTGGGTGTGACAATATATATATTTGGATTACAGTTTCAAGATATTCATGCGTTTTCTGCAAGGAACCCCCATGATGATCAATAACAAAGGGAAACTATTTTGTGCCTGCAACTAATAGAAAGCCTATGTTAAATGAAGGTGCGGCCCGCGATTTTACCCAGTTATTGATATTTGGCCCGCTTGCGAAAAAGGTTGCACACCCCTGACAACTTGCACAACTCCAGCCGTCTTTTTACGTTCAAGCCTGGGCAAGTGCCCGTCAGGGACTTATAAACGTATTCACGCTATGTTTCACGTCTAAGTGTTGCCCCAATCGCAATTTATTGTTCTAATATTAATATAAATATATCTCTCTCTATTTCTTAAAATAGAATTTCATTTCCTAACACTGGTATTTTTCCATTTTCTTTATGAACCTGTTTGTATCGAAAATCGATTCGTACAATAGCAACGGTACATCACGTTTACATTGGAAACAGACTGGCATATTGCCACGCTCAATATTTGATGAGAATATATTGCTAGCTGGCATTCACAATAGGAGTAGAAAACAGATGAAAACGCTGCCTGGAATAACAACAGAACGTCTGTGTGGCGCCAGCTCTCTACCACATATTTCAATAATATCATCAGCTGAGGCATATCTTTCGGTTTCATCTTGAACTTGACCACCGAAAATATTAATTAAATTAAACATCGGTAGATGAAATATATATTCGACAACAATAATGTACGACCAGGACTGCCGATAGTCAACGCAAACGATAGTCAAACGCGCGGTCAGTAAAATGACGATAATACTGCAAAATATTTTATTATAAAAATTTTTGAACATGATATTTTTGGGCAAATTGTAATATCATAATGAAAAACGCATCATTGGTCCATTTTCCACACAGTTTACTATCAGAGACAACTTGTCACAATAACAGAAGCAGACAAGTTGAATTGCCATAATTTAAGATAATAATTTACTGGTAATGTTATGATCTTCGAAAACTTTAATAACATGTATGCACTGTCAATAGGTCGAGTTTAAAATCCCACGAGTTGTTTTGATATTGTGGGAATTCACATGCAATAAACATTGGACTTAGTAATGTACATTAGTTATTATCTATGGTTACACCACAACAACAAACCACTTTCACACGCCAAAGAATATAATTGAAAGTGACATCACAAGATATTACCATCGCATGAATATCTGTAGTTTTCCATACTAGACTGGTGAAAACTAGAACTAAATTAAATTGCATTTTTGAAATACAATATGGGGCGGAAATATTCGCCTTATTCAAGCTCAGTCATGTATGAAAAGATTGTTATTTACATAGCAGGAAGTTGAATGAGGGAATGGATTTGGAACTTACTGATAGAATCGTGGAAAGATTACGCGACTCCTCCGTGTAGATTTCAATAAAGATATATAAACTCTTGAAATACTTAGGGTCAAGATCCAACCATCACAAATCTAATCAACTATGAATAATCGATAAAGCCTGTAATAGTAGTCTGTTTTACGCATGAATCATACCGCGACAAGGGAGAATCTAAAAATATCTGGGTGGAATCTAAAGTGTACTTATAACATATCTTGACCAGTTTTACAGTGTTGTTGTCATAGTCACGATGCGCGTTTTATTTCTGCCCAAGTTAGCTGATTTTGAAGGGTGTAATAAAATTCAATATCTGTGTCGCCATTCGCTGTTTGTATCATCTCTAGACAAAGTTGTTTGTAACATTGCTGGACAAAGTTTTAATAATAGCTGAATATGCTTTCATGGAAACGAACTTTTAAAAAACAAACGACCCTTGAACAATATTAACAGAATTTTTATATTCAGAAAGCAATAAATTACAAAAATGTCTTACTAGTCTCAATTTTGTTTTCATTTTTTATTCTTATGGCCCATTGTTAATGTTTTATTCAAATTTTTTGAAAGGTCGTTTTGTTATAGATGCATTCACGAAATTGTTGAACATATTAGCAAGTGTCGAAGAGTGATCCTAACATCTTCTGAAGCGTTTTGGATACATACGCCGCATCTATATTACGTTAAAAAATTTGATTAAGCTAAAAATGATGAAGGGTTATTTCCACCCAAAATAATATTCAAAATTGAATTCAGAAATTCATCTGACTTTTATTGAACTTGAAGTGACGCGGAAGGGCTGACTTTTTCATATTTATACGGTTTGAATAAATTAATTCGGTAAATTTGACATTATTGCAAGCTGCATCGCAGAAACTGTGGCAAAATAGAAATACCAAATACTCAAAGATTAACCAAAAAACCTCAGCGAGTGCAGTTTCCAGATAAGCGCGAAATCGTTGCTACGGGTTCATATCGTTGACCAATACGGAGAGAGCTAGGCAGGAACATTTGTGCTGTCTATGTGTGGTTCTATAAAAGAATCAGACATACTTGGAAAATTTATCACTTTAAAAAAGGAAAATTTGATATTGATAGAATATTAGCTGTAAGACAAGTGGACGAGATCGTGGCTTTGTTGCGCTTGTGGATCAGACAATTGGCCATCCGGTCATGAAGTTTGACTGCAAAATTCATCAGGAAAGCCTTTGCGCTAAGATTCCCAAATTGAATCTTGCTAGTGTGATAGCGATCACAACTTAAATTGTTTACTTCATTGTTACCCGTACTTCAATTACTCACCTGCAATTTCGTTCTTGATGAGATGACTGCATCTCGTTTGTTCAATGTCCGGATGACATAAATATTTTGCTGTCGAACCAAGGAAAAACTACCCAGAATTAAAAGACGAAAAATGGCATTTGGATTTGTTGTTTCTTGCAGATATTACTACACACTTGTACCGTTCGTTTGCAAGGTGCTGGGTAAACAGTGTTGAATCTTTCTGAGACGTGGAAATATTTTGCAGCCAAACTTGATTTCTATCTAAGGTGTTCAAAGTTCCACTTTCCTTTTTTCTAATTTCCGTGTGATCACAGGGCGGCTATATGAGTAAACTGTAGACGCAATTTTGCAATAGATTTCGAGACTTCCGACGTTTTGGTTAATTTTTTTTTGTTTCTAATCAAACCAGTTAGCTATGGCGATTTACATTTGTCTATATTTGATTGGATGAATGTTTTGTATGTAGCTGATTGATTTGAGATCTGCGGTATTGTGAACGAGCAAGTCCAATCGTTCAACTTTGATATTGCAGTTTTGGTCAACATTGCCGGACACTTTTGGTGATCTTGAAAACGTAGCAAAAGCCTTGTTTTCTGTATTCGGATCACAACGTACTCGGGCAAACAATTGTTTTCGCACATGAAGTTTGTCTTGAGCCATCGTCGCAATCGCCCCACGGATATTTATTTCGAAGCATGTGTTCCACTAAAAGTCACAAATTACAAGCCAAATTTTAAAGCTCTGAGTGAGGAAAAGCAAGGACAGGGATCATACTAAAATATTTTTGTGCATATTTATGTATATATATATATATATAAAATAAAAATCTACACTATAGATGTTATGAAACTTGTATATCAAAGCGCCTACTCGCGAAAACAATTTTTGAAATAAGCAAGTGGGAAAATAATATTCTGGGGCCGAGGAATAGAGAAACGTTCATTAAAACCCAGGCTGTCAAAGTTGACGTCGAATATTTCGTGTCAGCAACTCTTCCGCCAGCCCTACTTAGCTTTTGGTATAGAAAAGAACTGACATAACCAGATCTAAAAAAAGGTGCATGAAACACTCAAACCTGACGTACTTTTTAGCTCTTGGCTATATTGACGAATGAAATCTATAGCCTCCTTAATGATATCAGTTCTTGTGCGCCCATGTTTTACACAATGTCAATGGATCTAAATGTGTTTACTATTCAAACTATTGTTGTGTTGAAATTCTGAAGAATCCCAAGCCCAAAATTTTAAACTCAGTCATTCCCTGAATCCCAACCTTACCAAGTCTTCTAGGTGAGTGTACAACTGGTCGGTTTTGCGATGATAATATTTATGCGTGGTTATAAAAATATTTCTTTGTCCTTTTTTTGTGTTAGGTTCGGCATCATAAACTTCTCACGAAATCTCATCTTTTTATCCTCCCTCGTGACTCCCAGTTGTTTTCCATTTATGGACCCTTTCCCGAATTTCAGTATTTAGGCCCCAAAATTCCTGTATTAGGGTTGTCGTAATGAAATCTAGTCATTGCTTGACTAATACATATTAGTTTGACTTAAATTCTATCAAAACTTGTCGTTTGTAACTTTGAACCGCATGAGAGCAAGTAAACACAAATCAAGGAGAAAGTATCCTCTCTCTGAACCCCCTATGCGCCTAACATAGACCAACAGGATACTGTTTATCAAATTAAGATAGTTCCAGAGCCAATGCGTTGATTAGTGTTTTTTGTTTGGAAAGAACATCTGTAAGACATCTGTCCCGTTTGCTAGCATGGCTCGTGTCTCTTTCTCTTGATATTATCATCAGTTTCATGCAAATTCAGTCAAAACATTTTGTTATTTATATTTATAAAAAAGCATATTAGACACAAAAAGTTAATTATATAATCTCGTACAATTTACATTCAACAATGCAAGATACAAAAAAAAACACCGAAAACATGAATTGTGTGGCAAATAAAAAATGTTGATTGCAAGCGCGGCAGAAAGTACTCAAAATTAAGTGCAATATGTATATATATATATGCAAAAGTAAAGGATATTCTCACATCTATCCAATTGTTTTGTTTTAAAAACACGTTAAATAATGCGACACGTTGTGACATTTGAAATTACTTAATTCAAAACTCCGCTTCTTATATATTTGTTTAATATTTATTTGTAGTGTCATAACAAATAATTTAAGAATGGAAAGTTCTGAAAGATAGTACTTGTTGATATATTAAACAAAATTACTGAAAAAATTCCTTTGTACTTTAGTTGAAATGTAGCAAAATAGTATTTTGATAACTCATATACAAATTAAGTGTTACAATATTCAATAAAGATGAACCAATTTGTACTAAACAATTGTACAAACACAATCGAGTCAACTTTGTATCGGACTGAAATCACAAAACTGTTAATAACTAATATCATGCATTCACATAAATGTTTGTATTTTTATTTTTTCTTAAAAAAACAAGTACTATACTTAATAAGCACAAACGAATGCAGAATCAGCGAAAACAATTTAGTCCACCAATGATGTTTCCTGGGTATCCAGGTGCATAGATTTTGTTATTTTCTCCGATCATGTAAAACCAAAATTGCTTCTGTTTGTAGACACAGTCCATCCTATGCACCGGAACCAGTTCAACGACATCTCTCTGTAAACGAAATTGTTTATTGAAAAAAGTTTGAACAAAGTTCTGGACAGTGATTTAATGTTTAAATTAATTACGCATACTATAATAGAAATAGTTTCAATTTATCAAGATGTCTATGGCTGAACCATAGCAATAGCGATAACAAAATATGCCGGATTCCACCACGATTTTATGTTTGTATAAGACACCACTTACTTGCTCCAGGTTCACGCTATCAGACAAGTTGTGTTTGGCAAGTTCTGTTTTTGAAACATGACGTATCTTTTTGTGCAAAATATCTGTCTCTTGGAGTGGTTTGAGTTCTCTTGCTTTTCTGCGGTGAACGCGTATTCCCTTTTCATTTAGCAGATGTCTAGTTGGAACTTCTGGATGTTCGTCGATATAATCACTTATGGCATTTGTCCTGTGAACCAAATATTGGAAGCTGATATGAAGAAATAGCAATCACATATGACAAAACTGCTCATCCCTCCCCCTTCAATCAAATTAATTAATCAAACATCGTTTGCGTCTGACACGAGAATCTTTCATATATCGCAAACTCGAAAATGAGTGGTTTAACGCTAAACCTGCTAAATCTATATATTGGTCTGTTATATAACTCATATGGTATAAGATGAATTGTATGAAACATATGGACAGTTTACTAATTAATACTCACCATCTGACTTCAAGCTCTTTGTAGCTAACAACTTGACCACTTCCTCGGCAGAATTTACAAAGTTCGCTTCTATGCCCACCACAACTCCCACATCTTAAAGAAATGATTACTTTAATACAAAATATGCAAATATATTCAAACAAACAGGAATAAAGAATCAAAAAATGGTATATAAGTGAAGATAGGCCGGAACAGGAGTTGGGTATTTTCATGTTTCCGATGATTTAAAGCTCGACAGGTAAATTGGTAACACACACAATGAAAGTTATAGTGTTAGATACACTAAAAACAATATTTCGATAATGCTGGTAATTATGCAAATAGTTCTTTTTATTCTTGAGTATAAAAATTTGAACGTAAACATATTGCAAGTCTTGATCTTATCAAATATAAATTTTTCAAATTTTATTCTTACCTTACTCCTTCTCCGTGACAATGACATCCGTAATTGCGCTAAAAAAAATGATAAAAAAACTCGATGTAAATAAAAATGAGTACACTTGCATTAACTACTGACCAGACATATGTAAAGCTCTCACTCCGCCAGGTTTATCGTCACAATACTGTATAATATGTCTCATCGACATCGTTCTTTTTTGCTCATTAATTAAGTATAATTCATTGAGTATATTAAAAAAATAAAAATCGTGGACATAAAATCAAATGACTTACTCCTCCAGGAGATCCGTGACACCTCATGCAAGGCACAGTACCACAACCTCCACATTCAGAACATGACACTGTTCCGTTTCCCGAGCACCTATTACAAGAAAGCATGTATGTGTATACACGTATATATATACATACATACACGTGTCAGAGGCGGAGAGTTCTTAGATATATTTTCTTAAAGTGTTCATATATGTATATAACGCAGCTAATGATGATATTTGTACGCAACATTTTATTAATCAGTTAATCGATTATAAAAATTTTGAAATATTAATTCAGCATTTATTTTGTAGTTTTCAAAATGATAAAGCTTACTTTTCACATTTACGCAATTGTTCAGAATGAGGAATTTTTATATTTCGAATTGTCTCAGTGAAATCCGATGGTGGAGTGACTTCAATGTCATATATATCCACTTCGTGCCCGTTTCTTTTATCAATCTTTTGACCTGATTAATAATGATGAGAAAAATACCGATATGAGATTAAATTTCATAGTGAGAAATATTTTTCAGAGCATAATCTATAAATGATGGAAATAGTCTTCAGTTTGAAGGGCAAAAGACGAAATATGAACAGAAATTGGTAAATATTGCCTTTATTTGTGAACGCCTGAAAGAAAACATATTGATATCGATGTATTTCGACGCTTGTGCGAACGAATATTGAGTAAGAGTTGCTATTCAGGTTCATCCAAACAACATGCTTGAATAACGTTTAAATACTCAGGCTTCGTTATGAATCTGTATTCGATACAGGTAAATGATGCCAAATACAGTTCGTTGACGAACAACCACCAATATTCATTGCATTTAGAAAAAGAAATGGCAAAGAGCAAAATTGTTCATATAGGTAAATGAATAAATCTTAGCTTAATAACGTTATATTCATTGCGAATTACCTTTTTTGTAAGGCTTCGTTTTTTTAAAACACCTTCTTTCTTCCATGTGAGTCCACAAAGTATACTGTAACAAAATAATTAATCATATTGTAAACCAACCTATATTTTATTTTGTAATTCTAATGGAGTACAGAAAAACCGCTTTGTGGGCTCTTGCAGTTCGGGATGTGGGAGTCAAATATATATAATCCATGCTTACTACCGAACACACAGCCTAGACCGTCATTCTTTTCATGGTAGTTCCCTTTGATTCCCACACTCCCAAAACAATTGAAATGTTTATATATGGCATCTTCACTCGCCAAACCCGACATATTGGCGTGAGAATACTTTTGTTAGCGTCTTCACTAACAAGACTAACCGCGCGATTCTGAAAATATCGCCCTCCCGCAATTCTCGTGATGTTTTTCGAAATTATTTAATTGTGATAATTTGTTAGCTCAAGAGGCGGACAGCAACCGAGCGCAAAACGTTGATCATCGATCATTTTTATGCTCAGATAATTCTTTATATAGATGGAGTATCACTTTGAAAATGCGAATGATAAACTAACATCGTTTGAGTAGGACGAGAATGTCGAATAAAAAGCTATCAATTTCGATTAAGTACGATAGACCATCAATTTCGTATCGGTGGGGTTAGTCAAGTGCGTAAACCGTGAAGAATTTAGCATTGGAAATGATCAGTCTTATCTCCAATCCAAACATGACATGTTTCAACATTGTAATAACATTAGATCACCCAACACTCATCTTGTTCTCAACAGTACACTTAAAAGTGGAATAATCGGTTCTTACCCGGAAAGCACACCAAGTGTGAGTTCCTACAATTTTGCATCTGCTCGCTTGTTTGTGACTGCACAACGTCTTTTTCTTGGCCCATTGACGAAGTGCATATTGAGCTTCATCCGATGTTGGAGGCTGGACACTGAAAAATCAAAAAAATTAGCTATGTAGCCATTAGTTCAGTCACATCTTAAAGAGATAACATATAAGATATTTATACTGATATTTATATTGATACGGGTTATATTTCAAGTTGTTTTATACATGTTTGACCAACTGTGAAAAGTGTATATGTCTTTAGAATTGATGCTTCGATGAAATTAAAAGGTACAATTTCAATTTTTTCAAACTGGGCCGTGAAATGACAGCAATAAACTCCACCCGTCTTTTTACTTTAAAGCTTGGACAAGCCCGTCAGAGACTTAAAAACGTATTCACGATATGTTTCACGCTCAAGTGTTGTCCCAATCGCAATTTATTGTTCTAATATATGAATATAAATAAATCTCTTTCTATTTCGTAAAACAGAATTTCATTTCCTAACACTGGTATTTTTCCATTTCCTCTATGAACCTGTTTGTATCGAAAATCGATTCATACAATAAAAACGGTACATCACGTTTACATTAGAAACAGACTGGCATATTGCCACGCTCAATATTTGATGAGAATATATTGCTAGCTGGCATTCACAATAGGAGTAGAAAACAGATGAAAACCGCTGCCTGAAATAACAACAGAACGTCTGTGTGGCGCCAGCTCTCTACCACATATTTCAATAAAACCATCAGCTAAGCATATCTTTTGGTTTCATCTTGAACTTGACCACCGAAAATAATAATTAAATTGAACATCAGTGGGTGAAATATATATTCGACAAAATAGTGTAAGACCAGGTCTGCCGATAGTCAACGCAAACGATAGTCAAACGCGCGGTAAGTAAAAGGACAATAATATTGCAAAATATTTTATTATAAAAAAATTTTGAACATGAAGTTTTTGAGCAAATTGTAATGTCATAATGAAAAACGCATCATTGGGTCATTCCCCACACAGTTTACTATCAGAGACAACTTGTCACAATTACAGAAGCAGACAGATTTGAATTGTCATAATTTAAGATAATAATTTACTGGTAATGTTATGATCTTTGAAAACTTTAATAACATGTATGCACTGTCCAATAGGTCGAGTTTAAAATCCCACGAGTTGTTTTGATATTGTGGGAATTCACATGCAATAAACATTGGATTTAGTAATGTACATTAGTTATTATCTATGGTTACACCACAACAACAAACCACTTTCACACGCCAAAGAAAATATTTGAAAGTGACATCACAAGATATTACCATCACATGAATATTTGTAGTTTTCCATACTAGACTGGTAAAAACGAGCACTAAATTAAATTGCATTTTTGAAATACAATATGGGGCGGAAATATTCGCCTTATTCAAGCTCAGTCATGTATGAAAAGATTGTTATTTACATAGCAGGAAATTGAATGAGGGAATGGATTTGGAACTTACTGATAGAATCGTGGAAAGATTACGCGACTCCTCCGTGCAGATTTCAATAAAGATATATGGACTCTTGAAATACTTAGGGTCAAGATCCAACAATCACAAATCTAATCAACTATGAATATTCGATAAAGCCTGTAATAGTAGTCTGTTTTACGCACGAATCATACTTGGTAGCACGTACCGCGACAAGGGAGAATCTAAAAATATCTGGGTGAAATCTAAAGTGTACTTATAACATATCTTGACCAGTTTACCTTTTATACTACCATTATTGTTATAGTCACGGTGCGAGTTTTATTTTTGCCAGAGTTAACGGAATTTGATGGATGTTATAAAATTCAATATCTGTGTCACTATTCGCTGTTTGTAACATTGCTGGACAAAGTTTTGAAAATAACTGAATATAATTTCATGGAAACGAACTTTTCAAAAACAAACGACCCTTGAACGCTATTTTAACAAAATTATTATATCCGGAAAGCAATAGCTTACGAAAATATGATAAATAGTTATTTCCACCCAAAATAATGTTAAAATTGGATTCAAAAATCTATCTGATTCTCATTGAACTTGAAGTGCCGTGGCTGTGCTGGCGTTATTTATAGTTATCAACTAAAAAAAGTTGATACGCAAATTACAAAGCAGGGACGAAAAGCATTTGAGGTCGGTCTTTTGATGACAGAAATAGCCAGCCTCGTTGGCCGGCAATCGCATTTAAAGGAATGTAAGAAAGTAATTTGAAAGATTTCCTTGGTTACCGGAGCGGCACCTTGTTACCTCGAAACATTAAGTAAAACAAAACGAACAAAAGCCTTAATAGAATAGTAAACTAGTTAACAATTGAGTTAGCGGTGTTTTGATATTCAATATCGCCTATTACTCATACAGACAAAACCTGGGCATAACGAGATTTAAAAGCTAGAGTTTCAATAGCGTGCTATTTTAAAAGTACGTCTTTTTGTCAATTCAAAAGTGCCAAATATCACATGCCATTTGATAAGTCTAATATGAATTCTTATTATTGCCAATACACGATACTTAATAGTATGGCCAAATAAAGACAATAGCTCGTCCGTGTGATACTAATAGTATGCAAAGCTAAATTCGGCCGCGTTGAGCATTATTAAAATGATTTTTATGAAGATTGGTGTGTAGCTAATTTTAGGGTGATGTATTTTCATAATGACTGAACGTTCACTGAAATCGATTGTACAGAATCCAAACGAATTGTTGAATCGATTCTCTTATACTCTTGATACCGGCTTATTGATTGGACTATTATCTTATTACTATTATGATGCCATAAAACAAAAACAAAATACTGGAAACTGATGAAATAAAAAAAAAATTGATTTTGAAAAAACTGTTCAAATGAGATTAGGAAATCACGTGTTCTGGTAATCATGTTTTAAACAACACAGCAACGTCTAAAGCGCGTCGAAACTATCTTTACCCGTGGGCTTTTAAATTATATCTCAGATTTAAATGAACGCATCACGATGTGCGTCGTTATTTCCGCATAGATTTTCTGATTGACCGTTTTCTTATATATCTTAATTCTAATATCCTAAATTATATGAATATTCTCAAAATATTCCACAATTGTTTTTCTACTACTGTAGTACTACTCTGCCACAGCTTACGTTTATTAAATTTTCAAACAAACTTACGTCTGGTAATCAACATCGTGGCCTTCGACGTTTAACCTCATTGCGGAATTACTGTCATTCACTCTGCAACTACTTATGTACTCAATTTCAGGTGCGTTTATGCCTCCACCTCGTCCAGAATATGTTAAAGTAAAATCGCTTCCTATCTCTGATGAAACATATGGAGTCCTTCGGCGAGAATGGCCACGAGACCGCTGCCGGGATGTGTCAGAACGGCGGGTAATATCAGAGGTATCGTAAGAGCCGGAAGAGTTCAAATTGCCGTCATCACTGATATTCAAGTTCACAAAAGTCGGATATATCTCTTCATACTTTGGGGGTGGCGATCTATGTTGTGATTGTTGGTATTCTAGCTCTTTGGCAATTTTCAACTTTGAAGAACGGGTTGAAGACCCATTTTCGGTAGTCATAGTCTCGTAACCAGAAGTTGTCTCGTAACTCGGCAATCTTGACCTTCTACTCTCATGATCTGAGTAATGCCGCTGTCGAATTTTGTTTTTCTTGCTAGATATAGCGACAATGTCGTAGTCACTTCTACTACGCGTACGTTGTGATTGCATTGCAAAGATCAGTAATATATATATTTGAGAGAATAAATCTGTATAAAATATATCAATGCACAATGCTTAAGGTCAAGTTCACTTTAAATACCACCTGTCTTACACTATATAAAGATATTTAAAACTATCTGGCTTGGATTTTACGGTATTCATTGCATATAGTTGAAATGTTAAAATAAAGATAATGTTTTGGTCGATTAAAATTACCATTGTGGCAGCTTTTTTAAACAAGCAAATAGAAAATCCAATATGCAATGGGGATCAAATCTAATGTGTAGTTGATATACTAAAGTCGATATCCTTTTCATGTCGACTGGTATTTACACCTCGGTCAGAGGAAGACCTATATCAGACCACTAGTGTCGACAGCTAGCTCTATGTGCTAATTCCCAACTGCTGTCTCTTTTATATGGAAGGACCAACGCTTCAATTTTTACTTTAATTAATATAAAACGAATAGCCTAATTTCTGAGCGCAGATCAAGCGTAACCCGGCGATTTTCCCGTGAGGGGATTTTGATTGTAAGTGAATGCGAGATAAAAAAAAAAAAACTGGCGAAGTGTCTACGATCACTGATCTGTTTACATTGTATTCTCTCTCTCGCTTTAGTTGTCGACCGAGTGCCTTAGTCGGTGGAAAATTTTGTGTTAACGTACCGCGAATATGTTACTGCCTACACCAATATATCGTACTATTTAAAACTGATTATAGAATGACGCGAGCGAACAAAACCCCAAGAATGGTTTAAAACGTAAAATTTTTAGATTGAAATTGAGTTGACAATGAATTACCCGTAAGCGTTAACACCCTATTCCCACTACTCGAGTATTTTTTGAAAAATTGAGCGATAGCGTAACATCTCCTTTATCTTTTATCCAAAATAACAACGCGGTTTTATCTTGCAAATTCAAAAACAGGACAACCGCGTAATTCACAACCAATAATATAACTTCCATCGCTTCAGATACTTATAATGTGTAATTAATTTAGTTTAAACATAAAGTCCTGGTTATAGATAGAAAGCATTTTGTTAGCTAAAGTCACGTTTGCTTAATACGTGGTTTTACTTCATAAAGTTTAATATGTCGAAATAAAAAAATAACGCAACTACTAAATCTCAGACTTACTATGGAAACAATATCTCGAAAATATTTTTATCAACCATTATAATTAATAGATTTGGCCAAATGAATCATCTACATAGTTCCGTCAAACTGGAAAACTTGGGTAAAAACATGGGTAGATTTTACTGACAATATCTCAGAATACCACAAAGATCGAAATACCTTTTTAATTGTTTACATCTAGCTGATTCTGTTTAAAATCCAATTATTCTTCAGCAGAAAACCCAAAATAGTTGATTGATCACTTTTTTACGCAAATTATTCAATCAAGGCAGCATTAGTAAACACGTAGTATGAATTTTAATTCCAGGATTCTTCGACCTAAATAATTCATCGAATTCCCAGTTAAAAATGCTGAAGGGAGCGACCCACGGATATCTGTACTACATTTATAAATAATGCTTTCCATTAACAGAATTTTACAACATGAAGTTCCTCATATTAAAACGATATAGAGCGAGCGAGTAAACTATTATTGTATTCTGTACAGATTCTACGCAAAATGAAAAGCTTTTCAATTATATGTAAGACCACCTTGGCGTTTTTTTGTCAATAATACCATTGCTCATTGACTATGCACGACAGGTGGTATTTAAATTGATGCTTACGGTACATGTAGATTCAGTTATTCAGTATTCCCCAGACGCCTCGGTTAAAATATAACAAATGCAAAATGCGAAGCAAAGTTCAATCGAAAATATAAATATGGGTCAAAAAAATGAGAGGTTTCTTTCCAAATCTATACATTATGGATCACCTAATAAACCTCAAAACTCAATTTCCATAGGATTTGACATTTGAAATTATTACATATAACTTGACTGAAATAACCACCTTCAGCCAAATTTCACGACTAAAAATAACAACGAATAGTTATCCTTCTTAATGTTGCTATCACGAAGTATAATATTAGTGATTTTCCACAGACTTGCGGAAATATAATAGTGGATGTTCTATGTAATATTACCGCTTGATGAAATAGTATAATTATATATATCAAGAAAAGGTGATTGAATGAATTCAGAAGCTATCATTCAATATCTCTATTATAAATAGTTCACGGGTTTCATTGGCTCTAAGGACCTATGGGAACGTATGGCAAGTAATGGGTTTAATTTAGGCAAACAGGGTTTAAACATGGTTGAAAGCGGAAGAATTCACTTCAAAATTATGAAACATTACGTTATTAGGTAAACGCTTTTTAACTACCTGGCTGGCATAATCTATATTCGAGCCTGTTACTCGTTCGTTGTGAATTAAAAGTTTCAATTTATATTTGTGATATACCCACATATTTATCTGAAAATGTCTGTTGAAAATCTTTCAGTAAAATTGCCAAGCCATTTCTTCTAATCATTTAACCTAAACCGGTTTTAACGTATATTATTCATAAGTTCAGCCTGAGTAATGCGTAGTCTTTATTAGTTGACTGAAAGCGAATAGATTGAATCAAATTGTTTTCTCCTTGAATTAGATGAAGAATTCGTGAATATTACGCGTAACGGCGCCGTTGTTTAGAACGAGAAGCAATTTTCCCACGTCTGTTCGCGTCAATAATGAAATTAATCGTCTTTGAAATTGACACTGACTAAAACCAGACTATTTAAATCGTGAGTAATACAATCCCACTTCATAAATGATCGTTTTTGACGGATTCAATTGCATGAACGATAAAAAATATCTTCAAATGTAATAGAATGTGGCCACTCGATTTGTATGACATTTACCAGTCCAGCAAGAAAATGTATGTCCGTGATACACGGCTGCGTATCTGCAACGGTAGAATTATGGCGACTATGGCATTCCATCTGTCTTCCGTCCTAAGATTAACGCATTAAGGTGATATCATATATCATCACTCTACAGGTATACTACACATACATTAATATTGGTCCAATGCCGATATCATCACATAGCTCATCAATCTATATTTGTTATTTTATATAGAAAAACAACATTTTTTTTTTCGATCCACTACAACCGTAACCATTAGCTGGTTTAGAATGTTCGACTGAAGAAAATAATATCACAAAATAATCGCCCCGTGTTTGTCTCTACATACATTTTTATGCATGGTATTGCAGAAAACGTGTAACGAGATGTCATATGCGGATGTGAAAACGACACGATAGGAAATTGCGTTTTTGTGCATTTATGCTCTGTACGCTTGAGCATATTGATTAAAAAAGCAATAGATAACATTGACGTAACAAAATAAAAGCAGTGCTATGGTAAGTAATGTATCGTATAACTATTCTACGGCGTTTTGTTCATTCATTTTGGAACGTAGATGACCCTTAGTTTGGGATACTTTTACTGTTTATATATTTCTCTCAGAGGTATTCATAGTTTTCTTGATTTCAACCTGAATAATTTTACAAAAACGAGCCTCGTGGAGTTACATAAAAATACTCACATTTACTGTTGAATGATAATTTCGATTTTTCAAATACATGACAAGAGAACGCACGTTATTTTATTTAATGCAAACATATTATATTAACGTAGATCACGATGGATAATAAAACGAGATTGATTCTGAACACGAACGTTTAGCGAGTGGTGTGTTCCCGAATCTATTGAATACTTTGATATATATGCTTCTCTCAAACATTTATAAAAACATATATTACAAGTAAATATAATTCCCTTTGAAGGAAAAATTTTGGAATAATGTGAAACAAGCTAGTTAAGACGGAATGACATGGGAGCACTCAAATACTATCGCTTGCGAGGAAATTTTTTGATGTAGCTTGTGGTTTAGCCTTGTTAGTCAATGACACACATGTGGAATAAGAGTTTTATAGTTGAAGAAGACTCAATATTATGAGCTTGTTGTTGAAAAAGCGCTTATCAACGGAGGACGTGTCGGAAAATCACAAACTGTTTCGTCAAACAAATTTAAAATGTCGCCAGTAATGGACGTTAGTCGTTAAACAAGATGCGCAAAAATGTCGAGTGGCTAAACAAATTACGTAAAAATGTTGTAAATTTACTGGTGTTCTAGGGTGCATCAGCAAGCTAGGATCGATCTGAGCAAATGATAATCAACACTTCTAGGTCTGATAACAAAATTTATGGCATATTCTACGCAAGGACTCAAACAACTTCAAATTGCATATTACTCATTGCGTTACCAGAATTAGCAAGTTTTTTTTAATACTATTGGTTCACGAAGGGTTCATATACATACGCGGATGTATATATCTGTTAGTGTGTACCCGATTTTGTAGGTTTGATATACCTGGTCTGTTATTGCGCATTTTAAACTCTAACGTTTAATTTCTTATTTACTATTTTTTTTGTCATCTATCGAATAAATGAAGTCAAAACTTTTGACAAAATGAATACATTTTGGTAAGTATTGAATACAAAAAGCCAAAACCTGACCTGACGCTGTTTCGTTCCAATTTCAACGAAAGTTAAGACAAATCACCTGCTCTATACTTGCTTTTGGGTCTCAAACCATGTGGTTGGAATGCAAAAAAACAAAGATCTAAATATATCGAGCTCGCCTCAACGAGGCCACGGTTGAGAGAAGACGTTGTTGCTATAAGCCATTTATCTCATCGAATAATGACAATGGCCACAATATAAACGCTATTGGTAAGTACCGTTACGTAATATTTGTAATCCAATGAAAGCTTATTTCGCCCCTAGACCTCTAACATCGCAAATCCTAACTCATTCTCGCTGTTTAAAATTCAGAATACATTTAACAGACTTAGGCTAAGGTGCTGCTCAAATATGCAAATGCTAATTTGGCATTGATCCTAAAATAGGCACTTGCTCGCTGATGTACATCGTACGATTCATGCATTAATCATGAGGCTACGATGGAAACGCTAATTGTTTATTGAACAATTGGAAATTAATATAATTACGACGGGTCAAATTTCTTTCCACAAAACTTT